ATCGTAATATTATTGTCAAACTGGGCGAGTATGGATAATATCGATATAATATCGATATATATCAAGCGTGATAGTGGGATTTTTTGTATTTGGCTGGAAAACCACAAGTGGCACTCCAGCATTTAAATGTGAATAATTATTTGTGAATGACTCAGCGCTCGCCACCCAAGAATGGTTACAAAATGAGTTTCCTCGCTTCATTTCCAGCGCACAATGGTCACCAAATCTCCGGATACCAATCATCTGGACTATTGTCTCTGGAGTATTTTGGAAAGCAAGGTTGGCACTAAAAAATACCAAAGTGTCGATCACCTCAAGCAAGCGCTTCACCGGGAATGGGCCAAAATACCGTAGAGCAACATTCTGGCAACGTGTGACGGTTTTCTTGGCCGTTTGAAGGCCAGAATTCGTGCCAAAGCTGGCCAATGCAAACAAATCTAAACTTATTCTAAAATTTGATGCTATTTCCGACATTTTTTGCTTTCATTCAATAAAATTAAAAAAAATAATAATTATGGCGTTTGACTTTGTTGCAGTTTTTTTGTGTCACCCTGTATTAGATAAAGTGAAATACTTCGGTCCATTGTATCTGGTATATCGCGTACATTTGAGCATTTTCCAAAATTGATAACACATATCTCATATAAAGTACAGGAAGTAGTCGAAATAGGCCAAATCTAGTATATTTATATCCGACTTAGGTCAGATTCGAAGTGTACAATATTGAACAAATCTTTGGAATTGGGTCGGAAGTTTCAATAATCATAACACAAACCAATATATATGTAAAAGAACACATTAGCTGAGGGTGAACATCTGTCGGCAAAACCGACTTGGAAGAACTTATGAAGTACCAGTAAACTATCCGCTAAACAAGTCGATTAATTATCGTTTTTGTAAATTGGTTTTCTACGTCCATTTAAACATAATTTTGACGAGAGTTTGCATCGTGAGAGATGTCACAGGGAATGTATTATCTGGGCTTCATCCGTATGTGTGTAGTATGTATGTGACAAGATTTATTTGCTGTTGTTTCGGTGCGTATTCTAGTCGATATGTTTGCGATGTTCATGGACACGAACATTCAAATCAGAAACAAAGCATTCACAAAGAGATAAGATAATATGAACAAAAGTGGGTTCTTGTTAGAACAATAGCCCTGTTCCTTTGCCTTTTTAAAGGTAAACTAGCAAAAGAGCAAAGTGTGAAAGGGAGAAAGGTTTGAAGTACTTTTCCCAGAATGTAAAGGAACGGAAGCCTAGTAAAACTATTCAAATTAAATGACAATCATTCAAAACAACATATTATACAATCGGAGAGAAGCAAATCATGCTATTACTACTTTTCAGTCCGCCGAAATTTCGCATAGAAATGATAGCAAAAAGAACACCATGTTTCTCTTAAATGTTGTTACGAGTTTAACTATTTTTTCAAGTAAGGGAACAGTTTTCTAGTATTAGAAAGTTGTATATGATGTTATATGGCCCATTTGTGATAGCAGGAATGAGAAAACTGCAAGAAAACTGTGAAAAGTAAACAGACGGAATCCCTGCAACACTTGCAAACAATCAGTTGATTTATCAAAACAAAACAATTTGTCCGCAAATAAAAGAACAAAGAATTGAGTTTGAGTTTTTCAAAATAAATATGTTTTAACATTTCCTGCCCAAATATACATCACCGGAAGGAGAAGAAGAGGTGCAAGTGATTGCATGAAGAAATTTGTCCAGCAAGAATTTGCAAACCCTCGGCGAAAGAACTGTCAACATTGTTCTCTCAAATCGCTCTCTTTTGCAGATCTTTTGTGTTAACAGATTGCAAGCAACAACTGTTACAAATATTGAATGAAATATTGATTTGACAGTACCGAATCGTATTAGAAATGGCATCAAAATGTTGAACATTTATTTGCGACCAAACATCGGTACATGGGGACAATCCCGATCTCTTCGCCTTGATAGACCTAAAATTTATCGGTACCGAAGACTCTACGTCATAACTAATCCTATCCCAAGCCACATAATTGTCCGATGTCGATAAAAGTCCATTGTGTCTTTATACTGCCAAGAATTAATACTTAATATAATACATGATTTTCCGGAACATGTTCCTGTCTGTCGAACAAAAAATTATTTGTTCCTTTTTAAGTTTGCAAATTCTAGTAGACCGCATGGACGTCCGTATGTTGTTCAGTTTTTCATTTTTAGCGATACTCCTGATTAGGAATTACATTAGGGATGAGAGAAATCGAGACCCTCACTTCTCACCGAACTTTCGCACCTAAAAACTGACAACGGCTTAAATTATTATTGCCAATAATCTAGTTATTAATTTTGAAAAAAACCTACCCCGTTCTTGTTTGCATTTTTGGACAAATAACTATGACACTATGTTGTTGCATTTGTTGTACAACAACACTATTATTCTACCATGACCCCTATTTTATATTTTGAATAATAAATAAAACAAAAGTCTAGTCTGCTCAAATCAAATTGCCTTGCATAGGTGCGGGTTCAAAGGAGAACGATAAAAGTCATAGCAACAACACTTGCCTTTTCTAAAACTGGACTAAAAATTTAATTTTCAAAAAATTACATTTTTACAATTTGGATTATTAAATTCAAAAAGCCGAACACATTTTCCTAATTTTTCTTTATTAAATTGGTTTTTCTCCTTCCCAACGTTTGGTTGTCAGCTGCAGGTTCTACCACCACCAGTTGCACAACTTCAAGAAGTCCCTAAGAAATCGTGAAAACAACATTCCTCCCAAATTAAAATCAAAATAAAATATTCACAAGGTATACGCATTTAGCAAATTATAAAAAAATAATCAAGTACTTACGTTCCGTTTGTTTTTGGTTTCGTCCACTTAACCACCACACACGCCTAAACTCGTTTTGATCGGCTTATTATTTGCAGCGTCTAGCTGCATTTCCTTCATTATTTAAAAGGTAGCACCTTGCACAGCACAAGCATATGCTGTGTGTGCTGTTTTCGTCCGCGTACCAATAAATTGAATTGAAAATACCAGCTGCCGAATTTTGCAGCTACCCATACATGGATACTGTCTGTGTGTATGCTGCGCGGTTAGTTGAACACAACGCACCAAATTTTTAGAGAATTTAAAGAGTGTTTTAATAAAGGATAAAAAGACGAATACTAGATGGCGACAAGTCAACATTTTTACTACAAGTCACTTTTCTGAATCATCTTTTCTTAAAGAGTACCAGCAAAACGTACGGAAACAACGTGCTCTCTTCATTTCTTTCGATATTTTAGAGCCCTCACTTGATCCGATTGAATAATGGAGCAGAGATCAACACCTAAACCCGGCGTGCTGTAAAAAAATTGATCAATAAAAAAGTGCTGTAAAAAAATTGGGCCAATATAGTGCATTTAGTGTCTGTCATAAGTCTGATGCTATCGTCCAGATTTGGACGATATCTATTTTGTATATCTATTATCTTCACATCAGATCTTGAGGTAGTGGTAATATTAAGATGTGCAATTTGAGGGTATCAGACGCATATTTCCCATTATATGAACGTATTGCTTATTCAAAATGTTGATCCTTTATGGGAGAGGTACCAGAAGAAGTGGAACGATATATTCGGGATGATATTGCGGTAGTGGAGGATCTTGCGGTAGTGGTAATATTAAGATGTGCAATTTGAGGGTATCAGACGCATATTTCCCATTATATGAACGTATTGCTTATTCAAAATGTTGATCCTTTATGGGAGAGGTACCGGAAGAAGTGGAACGATATATTCGGGAGGATATTGCCCATTTTCATACCTGACCTAGCACTGATAACAATATTTGGATTTAGAAAGTTTGCACAAAATTAGATGATCCTTTCTTATTCTATGAGGTAAATTATTTGTGTTTTATTTCTGAACGTTTTGAACTCTTATGGGGGAGATGCCAGAAGGAATGGGCCAATATTGCCCATCTCCTAATTTGATCTAGGTTTGATAATAATATTACGATCCACCAAGATTGGACCAAACCTGATACCCCTTTGAGAGTTGCTCACCAGCCATACAGACGGAGTGAAACCCCTAGATATATATTTTATGTCCAAAAGTGTAACCAATACAATTAACTTTCCAAAATTCTTCTAATTTCAAAAATGTAAATTTTTAGAATTTGAATTATAAATTAGAAATGCAGAAAGAAAAATCATATGGTTATGTTTAATTTGAATACTTTCATATAAACCCTTGAATGTATAGTTTTCAGCTGCAGATAAACATTTCGCAACAGCACGTTAGAAAATCATGTAAAAAGCAACGTTCCTTCCATACTGAAACCAAATTTACATATTTATGATGTACTCTACATTTTTGAAATGTTCTATTTTTCAATTAACAGGAAAAAAAATTCCATTTATTAATCAAGTGAAATTTTACATTGAAAATACCCGTAAAATCAGGTGTTTTTTGCTGCTACCTCCTAAAAACTGTGCCATATCCATGGCAACGTTATGAGATGTAGCCTAAATAAATGTGTGGGCGTATTCACTGCAAAATTTTTATAAACGCATTTCAATAATTCTTGGCCAAATACGAATTGCGTACAAAGCCATAGCTTACTGTGTTACATCGAAATCGACGCACTCTGTCGGCATTTTTCACCATATAATTAAACATATTTTCCAAAAAAGTCGAGCGTACATAGTTCTAAAGTTTAACAAACTCAACAACGACAGACCGCACTTTTGCAGAAGGTATAAATGAATAGCCCGCAATGCTGTACGCTCATCACTTATCGAGAAAATGTTAAACTCAAATAGTTTTATTCGTTTACGTCAAAAAGTATTTAAATGTCTGTTTTTCTTTTTTTTTTGCCAAGCCGTATATTGCATTAATATACCTGTTTCGTGGTAGAATAAGACCCTTGTATTAAATATTTTAAATATATTATTTATTTGCTGTCACTATTTTGAGAATGTATATAGATGAGATTCTAATCGCACACGACATTTTTTATTTTAGAAAAAATGAGGATATGAATACGCCATCAGGCTCCTCAAGGGCTCCAGCCTTAGGGGGCCAAATATCACCACCAGGCAATTATCCATCGCCAACGGCAGATAATCATGCGCATCATCAACAAAGTCAGCAACAGCAGCTATTCCAGCAACAGCAGCAATTTTATCAACAACAACAGCAACAAAATTTCCATCAACATCAGCATCTGACGTCGCAGCAGCAGTTCCTAAATCAATCCAACACTGCGTTCCCGAACAATGTCCCATACCAGGCCGAGCCTGACAGCCTACGGTCACTGAATAGCTCATTTGGGCCCAACTCAGAATTCACTTCAGTATCTGGCAACAGCATCCCCTCTAACGTAGATCGTTTACATTATCCAAACAGCCATCCTCCTAGTGGTGGTGCAGTTGGGGTCGCTGGTGTCGTTAGCCCCGGTTTGCTTTCACCCGCACCATCCAATTCGGGGAATACACTAAATACGAACTATAATAGTATGGTAACGGCAGCCGGTGCTCAACAAGCCAACATGGATGCTATGGGTGGTTACAATCAGGTAAAATTTTGTACATCGATTTACCCCGAAGAGAACAAAACTTCAGTTTTTTTGCGGAACATTCTTATAACATGTTGTTCCTCAACGCATGCATGGAAGCACTATTTAGCTGGAAAATGACTTCTTGGTCCACAAGTTTACCAAGATTTGCCACTAACTCATCGTGAAGCAAATCAATATAAGGACATATTCTAACTTTAAGCGTTTTAGCGGGTTAACCTTTCCTGATCGGAAAAATCATGGATCTCCTTGGTTCATATTCTCATTTCGGCCATCTTATAGTTTGTCCTGTCTTTGAATGCCCACTATTTACAGATAACTACAGCTTATGCTTTGTTGTCCTGAATGAAAGTTTACATTTATTGACAGTGTATTTAGGCGAATGTCCCGCAAACAAACAAATGTCGCAATGCTACGATTTATGCATTCCAAAATAAATGTTGTTTTGCCGCTAACGTATTTTATATGTTTCTGATTCTACAGATGAGTGGCGTACATCCCGGAATGAATACTGGGATAATGGGAACACACGCTCAGCCACAACACCCTTTTATGAATGGTAATGGAGGTATGAATACCACAACAATGGGCCCAATGGCAGGAAACAACGCTAGCCCCAACATGCAATTGGCAGCCATGGGACCATCGTCAAATGGAAATGGGCAAATCAATATGATGCCGGGATACCACAGCGGAGTAGGTTCAGCAAGACATCATCAGGTAAATAAGCACTGTTTTGAAACCTGCAATCGTCCGCTCTTTTGCTATCTTTATTTCTCTATAAACAGCGATGGCATTAAGCCTAATAAACGTCAGACTTTGCAAAAAGGAATGTTTCTGTTTTCATATCTGCTTTGATTTTATCTATTAGGTGCACTTCTCGCCAAAATGTTCGATACCATAGATTGCTGAGGCTTTCCAATCATAGATACAATTGACTTTTAATAGAGCGTTGGCCAAAATAATAAAATGATTTGAATTGCTATATTAAAATCAGCACACTGTAGTGTTGCACGGTACAATAATGCAGGGTTTTTTTATGGTTGAGTCACCCTTTCTTTGCTTAAAGTACTAAACACACGGTTTGTGTATGTGTGATTGTTTTGAACAATAAAAGGTGTTCTGTTCAAAAACTGCAAGAATGTAAATATTTCGAAACAAATCACAAAACTAGTAGATTCTTGAAGGTTCCTTGTACTTTTGTTTCTATCATTGTTGATATGAACCCGCTTACCATATCTTCTTACTTACCGAACCATTTCGTCGGAGGTAGCACATGTAGGAGGTTTCCTATTTGGATGACATATTTTATTCTGTTTGTCAGTAACATTGAAACTAGGATGTTCCCATTAGGCAACGTGGTTCTCAATTCCTGTTCAATGAAAATGTTTAAAGGAAAGAAATGTCAAATGAAAAATTGTATAACGGAAATATCATAGATAAAAAACGAGCTCCTGGTCCAATAGATATGAAACTTCTTTATTTTCAAGGAATAATTCTTAAAATATTAAAAGTTCAGTAGCATGACTACTGACTTGAGTGAGTCAAAGGGACTTTCCAGATTCGGATTTCCCGAAAAATATTTAGATACACACTGTACAGAGCTGATTTACCCGAAATTAACTTTACTCCCATTATTTCCTTGGGAATGCACAAATAAGTATCTCCATCTTTATGAATATACGATTTTCAAATTTCCTTTAAATTAAACTACTCTTCTAAATTTGAATTCCTGGTGCAAATCTCCCAAGTAAAAGAACATTTAAACTTCAATGAGTCTACTGAACCTTATGTTCGTGTTAGTTGTCAGTTTGAGATGGTGCTCCCCAATTCCAATAGAATTGTGGAGTGCTTGTTTTTTGTTTCAATTTTTTAGTTCCCATGGTACAATACCGAGGTAGAAGAGCTTCATAAAACTACTGAAAAGCTTCCCTTAGCTATACCCGCTTTCTATCAGAATTAGATTCAAAAAATTAGTCTTATTTCTCTAATGTATTTCCTCATTTTATGAATGGAATTTCTGGATCCGAACCTTCTTTCAAAAACATGATCCAAACTGTTCATATTTCAATTTCATGGCAAAAGTTTTTCAATATTGCCAAAAAGCGTCCCCCCTTCATGTATGTTTTGAATATTGTTTGTATTTATTAACATTATAACAATAAATACATACACACAATTGCCAGAAGTCGGGCCCACCTTTAGCTTTACATTACCATTTTATTGCAACATGGTTGATTCTAATTTTTATACTCAATGTTATCTTGAATACTCTGTGATTATTTTACAAAAATTGATTGAAGCTAGAAATTATTTTTAGAAACGAATCGAAATCGAAGAATGTTCGGGACTTTTGTGTACATCCTCCCATGAAATGAACGTCTCAGGTTGCCTAAATTTGAAGGTTGCAAGAGTTGACAACTGTCAAATTACTAAAAACGTGTGCTACAGATGTTTTGCCTATCTCAAAATTAAGAGAATTGTTAATGTATTTTTCTTTGCAGATTTCTTCTATGAATCAAATGCAAAGTATGGCGATCGCTGGCAGTGGAATTGGTTCTGTAGGCGGATCCTCTAGCGGAATGTCACTACATCACCAACAACAAATGAGTGTCATGAATCCAATGTCCAAAATGCAAGGAATGGCCGGCAGTAGCTACAATCAAAGGCGCATGTCTCCCTATCCAAATCCTCAAATGCATGCAGCACAAAAGAGAGCAGGCGTTTATCCAATAAACAATCCAAGCGTACCTCAAACACAAGGAACCGCTGGAATGGGTTACGGATTATCCAGTCACATGCATCATCAAACGACAAATGGTGTTCCGTTGCCAATGCAAACTGGATATGGTGGTGGTAGGGGAGGTGCCATGAGTTATGGTGGAAGATCTGGTAACTGTGCCAATAGTAATATGTCTGCTAATGGAATGGGTGCAACCAGTATGGCTCCCGGCAACATAGGTCCAGGTGGTATGGGCTCTACGGTTTTACCAAATAGCAGTATGGGCCAAGTGGGCATGGGACCTGCTGGTATGCCAGGCAATATGGGACCTGCAGCAAGTATGAGTCCAGGATGTATGAATTCAATGCAACGCTTTGGTCCTGGGAATAGTTATGGCAACAGTCTGCACCACCCCCAACAGAACCAGTATTATTCTGGCTCGCAAACGAGCTTGAATATCAGTAGTAACACCGCTTCAAACGGAATGTGTCCCGTTGGTCCTAGTTCTGCTCCAAGCTCCGGAAGCCCCTATCAAAATCAAAGGCAAGTTTCAGAAGCAAAACGGCAAGCAAATACTTATTATTTCAATTCTTTGTTCCATCTCACAGTTTTCAACAAAACTATCAACATAGCCCAGTTCCTGGAAATCCAACGCCTCCACTAACACCCGCCTGCAGCGTACCCTATGTTAGTCCTAATCCTGATATTAAACCGCAACTAGATAATTGTAAGTTAGCTACTACGCTCATAATGAAACACTCCCCAGGCCCAAATCCTGGGAACATTTAATTAACAAGGGTTAAAAACACTCCCAATTCTCTCATCCATACAGGCGAGGAAATGAGATTGACTTTCCCTGTTCGCGATGGAATTATACTTCCCCCGTTCCGTTTGTTGCATAATTTATCTGTGAGCAATCACGTATTTCATCTCAAACAAAATGTTTACAATACGCTGATGTGTCGGTAAGAGAAATAGGAAACTTATAAATCAAAGAACTTTGTAAATTTAATACCAATATTTTTGTGTAGATCTGATCTGGAATTGCAGCTAAAGTGTTTCCACCAAGACGACCGACAAATGAATACTAATTGGCCACATACGGTCACGGTATCGGCCAATGCAACACCCTTAAATATAGAACGTTCTGAAAAGACCGGGCAAGCGCTAAGACCCCTTTATTTGAAATCAGTCTGCCAACCTGGTCGGAACACCCTCCAACTAACTGCGAGTTCCTGTTGTTGCGTAAGTTGAAAGGAGAATGTGTTTGTGTTAAATTGTTAAAAATTGTATTTTTTATTTAGTCCCACCTGTTCGTTTTACAATTAGTCCATCGACCATCCGTGCGACAGGTTATGCAAAGCCTACATAAGCGCAATTTACTACCACTGGAACACAGCGTGGCAAAAATAAAGCGATACTTTGCTATTGGCATTGTAGGTGGAACCCCAAGCTCTGACAATTCTGGCACCGCTAGCAATATTCCTGAATCTAATAAGTGTATTAGGATATCACTAAAATGTCCAATTATGAAAGCTCGAATACGTCTGCCTGCCCGAGGCTTGGAATGCAAACACGTCCAGTGCTTCGACTTGGAGAGTTACCTAATGATGAATTGCGAGCGAGGGACGTGGCGTTGTCCTGAATGCAATAAGCCCGCCCTCACAGAGAGTTTGGAAATCGATCAGTATTACTGGGCTATTTTGAATACCTTAAATAATTCAGACGTAGATGAAGTTGCTATAGACTCCTCAGCGAATTGGAGGGCAATACAGGGTAATGTGGTTAACAGTTTAAATAATAGTGCTAATAGTGGAAGCCCCAACACAACTGTGCCAATAAACTCGATGTCGCTCACGGGTGGATCAGCTGCGAGTAACGGTAATTCGAGTAGTTTACCAATTTCCCAAATAAAACAGGAAAACTATTCTGACGACATTGCCAAAGTAATGTCCCCGGGATCAACACAGTTGCCAACCGCCACATGGGACAACTCTCAAGCGATGAGTCCATTCAACAGCCATGACATGAATTCCATTGCCAACGGCAACATGATGACTGGGACAGGTGATTGTAAATCGAATCCCAACCAAGGCACAAATAATAGGTAAGACAATAATTGAAATATGCAACAAAACCGGATGTTAAATAAGACATTTTCAAAATATAGCAGTCGAAGTAACGCAGATAGTTTTAACAGCCATCAGACATCTGGCGAAATTCTGCCGAGTGACTCCTCACATCAAAATAGTTCCCTAACACATTTAGGCGAACCTCTTGATCAATTGAACGCCATGGAAAAGTCTCTTACAGAACAGGTACACTTCAGATAGAACATTTATGATGTAGTAACGTATCGCATACTTAGCTAACATAATAAATTTTACAGATGCCTCATACACCTCATACCCCACATACTCCGGGAAGTATCAGCCACCCCATGACCCCTGGCGGACCCCCTTCAGTAAGTTCCGCCCACAATGAACCAATTAACAATAGCACAGCAAATGGTGCTAATTCCAGCAGCCTTAACTCTCCTCAGACTCCGGGTACGCCGAGTGCTCGCACGGGCAGTAGCAGTGGTCAACAGCAACACGATCAGCAGCAACAGTCGCATCAAGATCAAATAATTAATTCTATTATGGGACCGCAATCTTCATCGGATTTGGTCAGTCTAAGTGACCAGCCTTTTGACCCGTCGAACCTGAGTAACTCAGATACCGCTAACGATTTAAATGTATGTATAAATCCTTTGAATTCGGGGGTCAGACGGCAGCAAGAATAAAGTTATTGTTAGATGCACAAATTGGGAGCTATACTGTTTTCTACAATATATATCCTTACGCCCGTTCCTATCACAATTAAAAATATGAGAATGAGAGCAAATAGGGGATGGGCCTTATAAAAGTTTTATAATAAATTCTGAGTTTACTCAATAAGAATTATCCAGTGACATCGGCTATCAAAAACAGATGTATTAGGCAATGCAAAAATATTTACAAATTTCAGGCAATTAATTACTTTTTTTTAAATAATAAGCATTCGACAACTTCCTCAATAATTTTAAAGTCTAGATTTTACTGAATGATGGTCGATAACTTTTTTTGCAATATTTTTACGTAAGAGAGAAATTTCTCTCCATAAACCTTATTAAGTAATTTTTACTTGGAAGTTTATCGTACACACCTAATGACGTCTCTCCATATTTTTATCAACTGTTTCCAGATCTGAGTCATTTGTTACGAGAAAGAACTTTTTTGGAGTATTCTCCAATTGGCTTAACTACCTTTACTTCCTCAAGAAGTGAGTATTATTTACTTGAGGATACTCGTTACTAATGAAGACATAGCCCAGGCTTAAGCAATTTTGTTGTACATTTTTATTAAGGATATAGCTCCTGATTAAATCTCACCTTTTTTGTAGTCTTGTGTTTATAAAGCAACAATCTACAACAATGACGTTCAGCATACATCTTACCCCTTACACCACGACCAAAGTAAAGACATGCGAATAATAAATTATCTATATTCATTTCTTTATTTCCAGCTACTATCCGACGTAGATCCTTTGGAAATATTGTCTTATTTGGAACCTCAACCGGATTTAAATACTCCGCCGTCTAGCGGGTCGAGCAATAACAACAACAATGACGATATTCTAGCTTCCTTATTTGATTAGACGTCATATACTGACAATCTTCCAGATTGACCCTGTAAATAGTATTATTAAATATAAAGAATTAGCATAAAAAGCATGGTACAATAAAAAAGTATTGAAGAGTTGCCTGTAGTTCGATTCACTTATCCTTTTCTCGACTTACCCGCAAATATTGGTGAAAAATATCAATTGAAACTCTAAATAGAAATTAACAAATATATCCCGATAAGTAACTTTTAGCGACTATTTCCTTTTTGTCGCTACATTGCCTGAAAACAACTACAATTGTTTCTACGTGTGCCCGATTTATATGAACGTGATGTTCAGAATCATTTTATATATGTTCGAAATCAAACATATAATATTGCCGGCATGAAAACTTAGTTTTTGGGATAGAAGGGATTTGAACGAGGTCAGTTTTTCTTCTGCCCTAAGTTCTAAATACTCATGTTCACCTGCGCCAAAGTTACGAACAATATGAAACAAATATAAACTAATTGTTGAGTGTGTCATTTCAGGAAATTCCTTTTTTACTTTCTTATTGGACCATAGGGAAAAAGTAAAACAAAAAATCGAATTAAGTCCATAAAGAGACGGGGAAAGTTTACCACAAAGAGAAGTGAGTTTTATGGAAATGGAGGCGGTTGAATGAGGTACATTGAATATTTTCTTCTGCTCTCTCTCCTAAAACCCTTCATTTCCTTCCGAGAAACTTTACCGTGTAAATAAGGTCTAACTAAACAACAATAAAATACAAATTACAAGGAATTAATGTAAAACCATTCAAATGTGATTTAATGTTAACCATCTTTTACAGAAATTTTCTCATCCTATCCAACGTATCATGCTTTAAATTAAAGTTCTCTGTAAAGTGTTAGTTTAAGAAATAGCGGATCGCTGGTGATTTTAAGTCAAAAACTCACCATGTTTTGAGTATTTTCTAAAACAATTTATCTTGCTTGTTATGGTTTCAAATTCTGTACAAAGTATTAATTTAATTTGTCAAATTTAAGTTTTATTAAACATTTTGCATATATTAACTCATTACTACACATATTCGTATGTAAAACTTAAGTGTACATTAGATGATTAAAAAGTATGTAGATTATTTTCAAGTTTGTAAGTCTTATTACATGTACTCGCTCACAAGATGTAAATAAATTCAGATTCTCATTACAACAAACTTAACCAGAAACGTAAGCAAACATATTGTTCAGAAATATATAATAAATCAATAACAATGTTAAAACCAATTACACAACAAATTGAACATTTTTCTTTACACAAACGCTACTAATGCATTGCACCACAAATATTATTCAAACTACCAGGGAAATCTCGTTCAAGTTGAAAAGAGGTATAGAAATGAATATAAAACATAAACATAGCCTAAATAATGTATAGACAGATGGAAGTATATGTTTCCTTTAGGCATTGATTCGGGAACTGTTGATATGCGCGAGGGATATTTTGTAATTGCGTAATTTGTCAGAATTTAAAAGGGTCTGCCCAATATTTTCTATAATTTTGAATGAATATTCGGATAATATAAGAAATCAATTGATGAGATATTCTAAAAATCTGTATTTGCTTTTTAAATATCCCATTATTTGATTTTCTATAACAAGAGTGTTGTTATTGTATAATTGTTAGTTGTTCGAATTCGGCATATACATAAATATTCCTTGCTAAAAGAATAAAAGGTAAGCCAAAACTACCGCTTCAATTCCCTTTATATTTTTATGGCTTTTTCTTTCAAATTAATATGTTTATGTGTCCATTGATCTCATTAATATGAAATTTCTTTAAAATAATATTACATCTAACATGGATATGTTTAAAAACGACGACCATTAGTTTTACTATAAGTTATTTAGTCTATCCTTAAAATAGTTTGCTTCATTCGAAGAAAAATCAAAAAACACACATGGACCATTTTCTTTGTGGAAACATTCTTCCAATTGTATTTTTGTTTTAAAAAAGTAAAACTAAGAGTAACGGAAAATGAACATTTACAACTCCACTTATTCCAAAGTAAAACACCTTATCTAACGTAATAATTTCATATACAAACAGAGAAAAGAAAAACTTGAATGTAGTTAACTGAATCTCGTACCCTAGCACGAAAACCTTATCTAATAAAAATATATTTAAAAAGTATCAACATGCAATGTGTTCAGAATTTATGATTTTCAAATTTTTTCATAATTATTAAATAAAAACAACATGTATTGGTCGCTTTTCATGAAATATGTATTTATATTAAAATATAAATACAAGCGTCGCATTTTTATATTTGGACCGCGTTTGTAAATTTTCCAGTCAATTGATTTTTTATTTTCTGTTCATTTTTAAATCTGAACACAGAGCAGTAGGCAGGAGTGGTTTCATTAATATCTTAAAATAAAAGTATATATGAAATGAATGCAAATGCATATATTTAAACTTTAATATGTACAAAAGGCTTTTATGTTTTTGCTATACTCACACTAGGTATGCTAAAATTGAAAGACGGACATACCTGGCAACGTGAAGGCAGAAATCATCATTGTCGAAATACCGATAAAATACACACATTATAGTAGTATGTAACCTAAATCAATAAAAGAAATCTTATAAATTATTAAGAACGCTTTTCATTTCAGACACTAAACGCACTTTGATAGCGCGAGTTAATTCTTGTAGTAATCCGAGTATTAAAAAAAACACAAGTTTATTCGTTGGTTGCTCAAAAATTACTCATCTTTATTGAAAACAATAATTAAAATGAAAGTTACGATTATAAACTTATTTAAAGTGAAAATTGCAATAACTGCATTTTGACAATTTATAAAATTATTAGTAATTCTATAGCTGGTGGCCTGTTTACAATTCTTTGAAATTTAAATATATGCTTATTTAACAATTCTTTTATTGAACAATTCTTTATTTTACAGTTCTTTTTCGGTCTGTTGAACTATTTAAAATTCTTACTAATTTTATATGTAGCAATTCATACGGTTATTGACTTATTAGCAATTCTTAATAATTTTTATTATTTATTTGCTTGATTTAACCTTGGTGGCTTTGTAGGTGCTTGTGTTAATGTTGTTGTTGTTGATGTTGTTTCTGTAACTCCTCCCCCCTTAGTATGGAGCGATGGCCAAAAGAATTGATGGTCAGAAGCGACAACAGTATTGGCGGGAAGTTCATTTACCACTAATTTTGTCTTCTGTTTCATTATATAGGTGAAAATTACAATTCCAATTATTAACATTAAAGTTCCATAATTTATGTGTCTGTGAAGTTCTGTATTGTTTGATAACTCTTCGATGGCTAACTTATTTTCTAGATGGTACTCTTTGAGTTTAGGTATATTTAAAGTTTCTATTGTAGACAAAGGTTTTATGTTTATTTCTGTGGGTAGTTTTACAATAAAATCGTCCCAATATATGTTTGGGTTATCTTCGTAGATAATTCCGTTAATAATAACATTACAGTTTTTAAAATTTGTTAATAAGTTGCCTTCAATATTATGTTTTTCGGAGTTACATGATGTTTTCATTTCTGTGGGCGGTAAATTTTTTATTAACACAAGTCCTTGTTCAGGTTGTGATATTTCTGTAATTTGGCCTATATCATTGAGATTACAATTAGCTTCTAAATTACTTATGATTTTTCCAAAGCATGAAGAATTTTCCATAGTTTCTTGTAGTGAACTTTCTTTACAATAATATATGTTTTCGATTTTCTTACATAAATTTTCGAAATATTGAATTTTATTATTATTATAAATTGTGTAAGGTTTTATAACTATTTCTTTTGTTTTATTAATTGGTATAGGAATTGTATGGGAAATTGTGTAATTGGTTAATGGGATGTGGGGAATTTGAATGTTAAAAACGATATTGGTATCATTGTAAAATGCCTGTAATTGTAAGAGTTCATATAAATGTTCTGTTGTATCAATTTTAATTGACTGATTCTCTAAATTGTTCCCTATTTCTTCTAACTCTTGCGTATTTAATATCATCTTGGGTATAATTCCGAGGCTAGACAATGTCATCGCTTCAGAAACATCTTTAATATGATTTGTCAGTAAATCAATGTGGAAATTAATCTGATTTAAATACTGCATATCATTTATAAGTCTTGAGTTGGAATTTATGCTATTTTGAGAATTCTTTATTGACTCTACTATTATATCTTGTTCTTTATTTATGTGGTCTGTGATATTTTCTATTCTTTCAATGATTCTAGTACTAAGTATATTCTGTTTACTGGTTTCAGTTTGTAATTTATTTGTTAGATTAAATATAGCCTGGTTAATACGGAGAGCATCATTATCGTCCATATTACCTGTGATAAATTTAACTGCTGAACCTATACCATTAAATAATCCTCTTTTCCTGCGGTATTTAGGAGTTATTGAATTCAATTTATCCTTAAGGTCTTTAAGTTTAAATTTTGTTACCTTTAAGGAATCTCTGTTGTAATATGTGGGAGTAAATTGTTTGACAGATTCCTCAATTTTCATGACATTATCACTATATGAATCTAATTTTATTATATGTATAAGGTTGATATAGTCAATTATTGTTTTAGCAGTTCCCAGTTTTATTTGTAATAATCCCTGGGTGTCTTTTAAATTGTGTATCTCCAGTGTTTGTGTGTGTATCATGGGTATTAATCTGAAATAAAAGATTATGAAAATTGTTTTTTTCTTATTTTTGATTTGTGAAGTTTCGTGTTTTTTGTAGTAAGTAATGTTGCTTTGTTGTTTTGTTTCACTTTGTGCCTAGAAAATCTCGGTGTTAATTTGTTTCTCCTACATTCCTTCCTGTATATATAGTTATCTACATCATAATTTAGTGGATCTTGTCTGTCTGCATTAAGTTTTTCTATGCGTTTGTCCGTGTCGGTTTCCAATTTTTCCTTAATAGATTCGTAGAGTTGTGTTCGAAATTGATTAATTTTAGAAAGATATTCGTGTTCATTGTTAAATGTAATTTGACGGTTAATTTTATAGGTTCTTCCATAGAAAAGTTCGAAAGGTGTAATTTTAGTAGAAGAATGTATTGCGTTATTATAGGTTATAAGAACTTCTGTTAGGATGTCGTCATGATCCATTTCTAACTTTTTTTCTTTAATTTTCTCGACTATTAATCTGTAAGTTTCAGTTAATGTTGAATGGAGTCTTTCTACGGGGGAATTGCTAGAAGATTGTTGAAAAGATGTAAAGTGTAGGTCAATTTGGTATTGCTGACAAAAGTCTTTAAATATGTTTGATGTGAATTCGGTTCCTTGGTCACAAACTATTTTGTTAGGTATGCCATGCAGGCTAAGAAAATGTTTTAAAGATTTAATAACGCAAAGGCTGTTTCTCGCTGTTAGAGTATATGCTGCGGCGAATTTGGAAAATTTGTCTATAATGGTTAAAATATTTTTGCTGTTAATCGTGTAAATGTCTATATGTATTATATCTAATGGTTTTACAGGTGTGGGAGGTTTTTCAAACTTATTCTTCGGAGGATGTCTATCATATTTTAGTCTTTGGCATGAAGTACAATTATTTATTGTTTGAGCTATCTTTGATTTCATGTATGGAAAGTAATATTCGCGTTTTAGGTGGTCATAGGTTTCTTGTATGCCTCTGTGATTATTGTTTTCGTGATAGTCTTGAATGATTTTATCCTGATTATCGTTTTCTTTTATGTCCTTTACTATTTCAGTACACCTAACTAAACGAAAAATTTTGCTTTGTGCAAAATGTTTGGAATATACATTTTGAATAATGCGAAAAGTTTCATTATCTGTAAAAATTGCCGTGGTTTTATTGGGCGCTAGATGATTTTTAAAAATTTGTGTTATAATTTCCTCTGTATAATTGGGGTATGTAAATGTTTTTCTATATTTGTTTTTAAAAACTACTTCTTGTTTTATGTGAGAATTAGAGTTTCCTGTCTTAAATAATGTTTGTAAATTAAAATCATTTATTGGTTTTTCCGAAATCGGAATACCATCATCGCAGTTTTCCTCTGCAGAGTGAATAGTACTACCAGAAGTGGCTTGATTTGACGTTGTATCAAATGCATTTATGTTTAGATTGACTGATGTGTCAGTCTTTATGCGACTAAGGGCATCGGCGTTTGTGTTTAGTTTGCCTTTTTTGTATATAATTTCATAATCGAATTCTTCTAATTTCAATCGCCATCTTATTAATTTAGAGTTTGGCTCTTTCAGGCTCATAATCCATGTGAGTGGTTTATGATCT